TCTGAAAAACACGTGTGTATTTAAGGTGGAAAATGTTTGATATGAGCATTCAATTCTTAAAGGTTTAATTCTATAATCATTTTGTTTAGTTATGTAAATAAATTTAACACGACTTGTACTGTTTATCTGAGTGAAAGGAGAGCTGCGGGTTTTCCCTTTCCTTTATTTACACTTTCAAATATGACCGCTTAACAAAAATGCACGGGCTCACTGGCTTACAACCTTGGCGAATTCATATGCAGGCCTGGTCGCAAATCAATCACCCGGATCCAGTACACCAAATAACTTTATTTATTAACTTTATTTATTTTTTTTACGAGGGTAGCACATTACAGTCAAGGACTGATAAACTCGTGGCCCTCCTCTCACACTCACTACCTCTACATTAAGTATTTTAGCACACAACACTCTTCACATGTTGATTTTTGCTGAGTGAGGAAAACCGGAGGACCCGGAGAAAAACCCTCGTGGCAAGGGAGAGAACAACACATCAAACAAACTCAAACTCACATATGGTCCGTGCCCGGGTATCGAACCCGGACCACAGCGGTGAGAGGCCAGTAGCTTAACCACTAGGCCACCCATGCCACCCAACCAACCATGCGGACAGTAACTCCGAGTCTCAAAATGGGCTCAAAACTAATGATTCTGCTTCAGTTTTCCAACAATATCATTCTAAAAATTCAATTTAATGCTGAGGCTATACTTGTTTTAAGATTAATACGCTTTCCGAGGTTAATTTGGCGTGTTTCAAGTCGCTTGACAGAATTGCGTGACCTATTTTTGAACGTTAATAACTCAACGAATAAACACCAAAAAATGTTGAAACTTTCAGAGAACTTCTATCATGCTCTTCAAGGTATTTTATTACTGGAATGTTGTGTGTCTGTGATTTTAGAATTTTTTTCCGACTTATGACGTCATGTGCAAACCGAGAATTTGCCAAAAAATAAATGAATTTAATCAGGTATAGCACAGGGAAACCGATAAAGAAAAATTAGTGAATAAACTACTATAAAATAATAATATAATAAATAATTGTAAACACAAGTATCGCTGGCCCAAGTTTACAGGAAAGTGAGTGAGTGACTGAGTGAGTGACAGATTCGTCTCCCTCCAATAACTCTTCGATCGCTTCGCAATCTTCGAGTTAAAAAGGTAGACAAACGACCTGTGAAGCAAACCATCTCTTACAGTCAAAAAGAGTACATTGGACTAAAACAAATTGAAAGTTTCAATATTTTGGACTGATAACTATCTTCATTAAAGATATGAATGATTACAGAGAAGCTTTAAATTTTCAGGTATGAGTAGGGTTAGTTGTGTAAGTTTTGTGTAATGTTTGTGTAAACATTTTGTGATATCAGTTAATTTTTGATGGACTTTTCGAGACTTTTTGAGCTCATATTTGTTTCGAGCATCYTTTTCGTCTACTTTTTGCTTTATTTATATATGTAGTTAAGCTTTTTCCACTAGTTAGTTTTAATACATATTTTTCAAACGTGTCTTGAAAAAAAGTACAATTAAGTCGCCGCCGAAAACCACTTTGTCTCCACCCACTGATTCGTTGAAATTGCACCATAATGCTTAGGGCTTGTTAGTATACTCTGAAATGTAAATGACCGATCTGCGATCAAAATGGCGAAGTAAATTATTTCATGTTGAGATCAAAGATTTTACGTTTTTGGCACATGAACAAGACGAATACCCAAAAACATACTTTTTAACAGAATTCGAGAGATGTATCCTGATTATAGAATTTTTCGGGGTGTTTGCTGACAAAAAAGCTAAGAAATTCTTGACTTTTTGTAAATTATTCCAGGYTGAATTTTAAGTTGCACCTAATTTGCCCTAATTTAAATTGAATCTCAATAATGAATTTCAATACTATATTGTCGAAAGTTGCCAAGAGCAAAGCTTGGCTAGATTACCTAACGTATATTTCTGATAACGTTGTATTGTAAGCCATATTGTYAATAAAATCCGATGTTGTTGTCGCATTTTCTCACAGATGTCAGTTCAGCACGTGGTCAAAATCAAGCGGCAATTCGCTTCACTTATGAAAATAGACTCGAACGAGCTAAATTTGGAATCATGTTTTCGAAAACTGATCAATTACAACGCAAGGACCTGATACGATTATGCATGACGAACGGGAATAAACTAATAGCAGTGTGTAGGTTTATTCACGAAACTTGGATTGTCGCTATTTGCCTTTTATATTCTTTTCTTACACTTGCGTGTGATCGGAATGGCCAGAAAAACAAAAACAATGCACGAAAAGTGAATGGKTATGYTGATTGTTTCTTTTACTAATGCGAGAAGGAACAATAAATAATTGAAGGTCATTGAACAAATCTWGGTCTTGGTGAGACGTATCAACCCGAACAATCCAAGAACAGATTCGTTCGACTGCACGCAGGCTATTTCTATGAAAAAAAATATTTGAAAAAAAATCTATTCCTGATTTCGTTTGACATATCAGTGACGTGTTTTGATATAAGCAATGATAACGACAATGATATTTCCGCACTCCTTTGGTAGAGTCGCAAACCATTTAGCTAGAAAAAAGCTGATAATTAGATCAAATGGGTAATTAATTACTAGCTTTAGTTTCTTAAGAACTAAATAAAGTATGTTTAGCTCTTAGTTATCGCTGTCGTTATCTATAACCGTCATGCTAAGAAACGTAATCTTGTAATTATACAAGGGATATTTATATCCATATAATCGTTCACTGCAATTGAAAGGTATTCACGGACTCATGGAATCAGATTCATCGCGGTATCATTCCTGAATTTGTTTGAGGCGGTTGACTTTTCATCATCATCTTATGGTGATATAAGCTATATTAATAGCATACCACATTCACCAAACAAGACAGTTCATTCGTATATTAAAAACCGACGGAAAAGTTCAAAAAGACACCTGCAAAAATAGCTGTCCTATGAAAGAAAAAACTTTTAGATTTAGAAAAACAATAGCCTGCACAAACACTCGTGAAAATGTCATAACAGTCGTTTGGTTTATYAGATTATTTTTTTTAGTAAAACTATCGGTCACGTGCATAAGATTCGTTATTTGAAACTGATTTTTGTGAAAAGTGAAGTGAGCTATCTGATTTACAATGTACTAACCGCTTAGTATGACACGTATATCAACTACGTAAGCTGACTAGACCTTCAGCTATATCGGCGTTTAACCCATAAACTATTTACAACTGAGCTATAAAATTGGCGGCAAGCTACAACCCGTGCAGTACCTAGCTATAGATGGTAGATTATTGCCTAATGATTTAATGGTTTTTGCTGCAGAGGTTTTAGTCTAAACCTGTTGGTCTTTATGTGATGTTTTTGTCCTGACCATTGTTTGTTGATGACAATGTTTTAAAAAAAGCGGCAAATGTAAAATTAGAAGAAAATTCTGATTACCTGTCTGTAGCAAAAATGAGTAGAACCCACAGTCCAAGAACAGATATCATAGCTACAGCAAGACGGCTTTGGGACTTCGTCTTGTTTATCTCAGGTTATTTAGCRATTTATACCATTGTGTGGGTCTGTCATTATCTTGTAATTGAAACGACAACGTTTTGCCATCTCGATAGGATTTTAGTCGGAAGCGAGTGGGATCAAAGTGTTGTAAATGCGAATGATGGTTGATAGCCTATGAAACTAAAATTACCTTGAGTAGCACAAATACGTGGGCTGGACGTGGTGTGTGGTTATATGTCGGGCAGTTCAAAGTCCATGTCACAGTCCACCATAATTGAGATACTAATTGGGGTATATCTCATTCTATAACCTTGGCAGTTATGTCAGTACTGACTTATCTTATTGACACGATGGATTTTAAGATCAGCTACGACTTGTGCAGAGGTTTAGCTTCCTTCCACCCAATAATACATTCTATTTGTTCATAAGATTCAAATGTGGAAAATGAAAACTTTCAATATATATAAAGATATGGGACAATAAAACTAATTACAATAGAATGATATTAAAATATTAGAATATATCAAACGACAAAACTATAAGTACAACAGAAGGCTTTCAAAACAAAAATAATGAAACGAAAAAAGTGTCAATGAGTAAAGAGTTTTGCTTTGATGCAGTCTCTGAATCCTCCTGGGATTCAAAGATGAGCAATTCGTGTCCTAAGGAAATGCGAGGACAACTGCCTTGTGTCTCAAGCGCTACAAAGTGACTCCATCAAAGCAAAATCTTTTTCGTCAATGACACATTTTTTCGTTTTATTATTTCTTGCATTGAAAGCCTTCTGCTTGTTGGAATTTGGAGATGGCTTCGATGTACATACATACAATATAACCAGTTTACCCCTGGGTCGTTTACAACATCAGTCAAGCATTCGCTTTGATCTCGATTAGTCAAGATCTTTATGTAGTTTCATTACAAGCAGATTCTAGTTTGGGACCATGGACCATCTACGTAGAATGAAATGTATTCAGTTGAACAGAGAAAAATCGAGGGCGRGGCATTTAGAATTACTGATCATATAGATTAAAAATGTTGTTCCTGTTTTGATGTTCATAGTTGCCATCTTGTACAGAATATACGTGATATTTAAAAAACGAGTAGGAG